CATCGGTTTCTTCACTCTCGGCCACCTGTCTAGCATCTCGGTGCCTCCCCTCCTTCCCAGGAGATGAATTCCCTCTTAGAGAACATCGCCAAGGCCACCATCGAGGTTTTTCAGCAGTCGGCGGAGACAGGGTCCTCCGGAAGCACTGCGAGCCACATGCCCAGCGGCAGCAAGACAAAGCCCGTGCTCAGGTGGGGGAGACCCGTGTCAGCACCCACCCCCTTCCGCGTTCCTCGGCCAGCAGTGACGTCATGACGTCAGCCGCACGGCCAGAGATGCCGGGCGCGGCCATTGGGAACGGGGAGGCTGGACTGTCTCACCCGTGCCCGCCTCCTCTGTAACCCGGTGCACTGCGTCTGTCCCCCAGCTCTCTGGAGCGCTCTGGTGTCTGGCTGGTGGCCCCTCTCATTGCCAAACTGCCCACGTCAGTCCAGGGCCACGTGCTGAAGGCCGCGGGGGAAGAGCTGGAGAAGGGCCAGCACCTGGGCTCCTCTTCCCGCAAAGAGCGCGATCGGCAAAAGCAGAAGAGGTAGGGTGGCACCGGGGGGGGGCCCGAGGGTGGGGAGCAGCAAGGTCGAGGCCTAGGGGTGAAGAGAAAAGCCACGGCGGAGCGGGCAGTCGGACGGCAGGAGCGCGCGGGGCGGGGCCGGAGGAGGCTGCAGCTCGGCGTCTCCAGCGCGCTGTCCTGCCCCCCCTCCCCGGTCTGCAGCATGTCCCTGTTGAGTCAGCAGCCCTTCTTATCCCTGGTGCTGACGTGCCTGAAAGGGCAGGACGAGCAGCGCGAGGGACTCCTGACCTCCCTCTACAGCCAGGTGCACCAGGTACAGGTGACCGGGCCGCGGAGCCGGGGACGAGGGCAGAGGAGGGTACACCCGAAAGGCCCCTGTGTGCGCGGAACCTTCACTGCTTGCCCGTGACACCTTGGTGCTCTGGAGTGGAAACGGGGTCGTTGAGCTGTGTCATGCTTGTCTCCTCGTTTCTGTGTTAGATTGTGACCAATTGGCGAGATGGCCAGTACTTAGATGATTGCAAACCGAAGCAGCTAATGCATGAGGCCCTCAAACTGCGGCTCAACCTGGTGAGCGGGGGCCGGGGCCGAGAGATGGGGTGGGGTCAGGCTGCCGAGGGTGAGGACGTGGGCCCAGGCTATTCTGGGACTTCAGGCATTCGCCCAGCTGTCCCAAAGGACGCAGGGCCCGAAGGTGGTTAGGGAGACTGGGTCCTGGCAGGGACTGTGCCTCGGTTACCCTCGATTCTGACTGGGTCCTAGAAGACCTGCAATGGCGTTTCAGAATTTTGAGTGGAATCCTGGACGTCATTTAGCCCAAGTCCCGTCATTTCATAAGTAAGGAAGCTGAGGCTTGGAGCTGTCGCCAACTCTTAAGCCCGAGACCATGTAGCCAATCACAGGTGCATCTGGAACGCTGACCTCAGGCGTCCCGAGTCCACCCAAGCCAGGTTCCCATCGAGCCGTCCCTTAAATGCCGGGCTTCGCCCTGCGTGGTCCGACTGAGGTGTCGCGGCCCCGGCAGGTGGGCGGCATGTTTGACACGGTGCAGCGCAGCACCCAGCAGACCACGGAGTGGGCCGTGCTGCTCCTGGAGATCATCATCAGCGGCACTGTCGACATGCAGTCCAACAAGTAAGGTCCCCGCCGCCCCCCGCCCGCGCTACTCGGAGGCCTCGGGATGGGGGGACGTCGTGGGCGCCGCACCATGGCCACCCGGAGGCCTCTGGCCGCCTTCACCTGTGTTCTCCCCTTCCCGCCCTGGCTGCTCCCTCAGCGAGCTCTTCACCACGGTGCTGGACATGCTGAGCGTCCTCATCAATGGCACCCTGGCTGCAGACATGTCCAGCATCTCCCAGGGCAGCATGGAGGAAAACAAGCGTGCCTACATGAACCTGGTGAAGAAGCTGCGGGTGAGTGGCGCAGGCGACGCCGAGGCTCGGGGGACTGGAATCTTCTCAGCCCCTGTCCTCTGACCTCGCAGTGGCCGTCCGGCCTCGGGGACTTGCTCTGCTCAGAGCCTCCACCCTTCCCTTTCACGTTGGTATTCGTTGTGATTCGTGCGGGAAGGATTTACTGTCTCCTTCCTGCCGGGCCGTGCTGTCCCCTGGGACCTCCCCTCTTCGTTTCTGTGTCCTTGAACTCACGTCCCATCTTCCTGTGTCTGCAGAAGGAGTTGGGGGAGCGCCAGTCAGACAGTCTGGAAAAAGTTTACCAGCTGCTGCCACTGCCCAAGCAGACCCGAGATGTCATCACCTGCGAGCCACAGGGCTCCCTCATCGACACCAAGGGCAACAAGATCGCTGGCTTTGATTCCATTTTCAAGAAGGAGGCAGGTTCCTTTGTCTTTCTGACCCCCCACCCCGTTTTCCCCTCTGGACAAGAGCCGTCAGGCCGAGGCGTCCACGGGCTCTGGGCCGTTAGCTCATCACTTCACCCGCCCTGCGTTCCTTCTCCCTACGTCAGGCGTCTCACCCTCTTTCCTCCGTCTCTCCCTCACCCCCACCCAGGCCTCAGCACCCCTACCCGCCTGTTCACGTAGCACCTGCTTCTCAGCTCCCCACCCTCTTCTTCCCTCTGCCGCGCCTGCCTCCTGCCCTCCGCCCCTGCGCGCACCCCGCCCTCTGTCTGGCTGACCGCCGATGTGTCCTCCATCTCTGCACAACTTTGTTTCCCTTCTCTCCGTCAGTTGCAGTATTCGTTGAGTGGCCAGACCACTGTGCGGAGCAGAGAGGTAGAGGAAAAAGAGGGTGCAGACTTAAACCTCCGAGGTCCCACCCATGGGCGGATGCAGTCTCGCCCTGGCCCATCCGTGTCTGTCTCTCTGAGCGTCTGTCTCTCGTTCTCGCTCTCCCTCTGCCTGTCTCTCTCTCCACCCACCTCCCTGAGTGCGTGTCTGTCTCTCTCTCTCTCCCCTCGCCTGTCTCTCTCTTCCCGCCTTTCTCTCTCCCCGTTTCTATCTGTCTTCCTCCGAATGTCAGTGTCCGTCTCTCTGTCTCTCTGCTGCCCCCACGATTGCCCTGTCGCCTCTTCCTCTCTCTCTTCCACGTGCACGTGTGGCGTCCGCGTCCATCTGTCTTTCTCTCGGCCTCCGCCCTGAACCTGCCCGTGACTTTCTCTGATGGCTAGTGGGTGCTTCTCCTCTCCTCCGCAGCTCACTGTTTCTCATTTTTCCGGAGCAGGGTCTACAGGTTTCCACCAAACAAAAGATCTCTCCGTGGGATCTGTTTGAGGGCTTGAAGCCGTCAGCGCCACTGTCCTGGGGCTGGTTCGGCACGGTGCGGGTAGACCGGCGCGTGGGCCGCGGCGAGGAGCAGCAGCGCCTGCTGCTGTACCACACGCACCTGAGGCCCCGGCCGCGGGCCTATTACCTGGAGCCACTGCCGCTGCCACCGGAGGACGAGGAGCCCCCCGCTCCTACCCTGCTGGAGCCTGAGAAAAAGGCTCCAGAGCCCCCCAAGGCTGAGAAGCCTGGGGCAGCTCCGGCCAGCACTGAAGAGCGCAAGAAGAAGTCTACGAAGGGCAAGAAGCGCAGCCAGCCGGCTGCCAAGACGGAGGTGACTGCCGCCCGGTGCCGCTTCTTCCGCAGCCCCCCCACCCCCGCGATTCTGTCCAGTTTTTGGCTTGTGGGCGGGGCACGGGGCGGGGCAGGGGTACCCTTGGAGTCATCAGAGTCGACCAGGTTGACCTGCTGCCCGGCTCCCGTCCTGGCACAGCTCACCCCAGTGTCAAGTGTCGTCCCCTTTCTGCTCTGCCATCCCCACAGGACTACGGAGTGGGCCCCGGGCGGACTGGCCCCTACGGCGTGACAGTGCCCCCAGACCTCCTGCACCACGCTAACCCTGGCTCCATACCCCACCTGAGCTACAGGCAGGGCTCCATCGGCCTGTACACACAGAACCAGCCGCTGCCTGCAGGTGCGTGCCAGTCCGGAGCCGGGGGCTTCCCTGGGCATCCCGCCCACCTCTGAGCTACCGGGGGGTGGAGCAGGACACCGAGCCGGGGCTGCGGGGCCGAGGAGCCCGGAGAGCTCAGCCTGCTTTGCTGTCCAGGTGGCCCGCGTGTGGACCCGTACCGGCCCCCGCGCTTACCGATGCAGAAGCTGCCGGCACGGCCCCCGTACCCTGGAGTGCTGCCTGCCACCATGACGGGCGTCATGGGCCTGGAGCCGTCCTCTTACAAGACCTCCGTGTACCGACAGCAGCAGCCTGCGGTGCCCCAAGGACAGCGCCTTCGCCAACAGCTCCAGGCAAAGATAGTGAGAGGGGCAGTAGGGAGGGCCCTCGGGGAGAGGGGCATTTGAGGGTCCCAGGATTCAGGAGACGCTTGGGACCTTCACCAGGACGCGCCGACCAGGAGATTCAGGGACCGAGGCGACGGAAGGCGTTGCCCGAGGTTGACTTGGTCTCCTTTCCCCTTCAGCAGAGTCAGGGGATGCTGGCCCAGTCGTCCGTGCACCAGATGGCCCCCAGCTCTTCGTACGGTTTGCCGACGTCCCAGGTGAGGGTCGGGCCGCGGACAGCGGGGACCCGAGGCGTCGCGCCCCGCTCGCTGTCGGCCCTGACGCTGTCCCCCTGCACCGTCCAGGGCTACACTCCCTACGTGTCTCACGTGGGGCTGCAGCAGCACACGGGGCCCGCCAGCACCATGGTGCCATCCAGCTACTCCGCCCAGCCTTATCCGAGCGCCCACCCAGCTGCCAACCCCGCGCTCGCAGACCCCGCTCGCCACCTGCAGCAGCGCCCCAGCGGCTACGTGCACCAGCAGGCCCCCACCTACGGACATGGGCTGGCCTCCACTCAGAGGTACCCGAGGGAGCGGGGGACTGTAAGGACACGGGGGTACGAGGGAGCACCTGACGGGGTGAAACCTGTGCCAGGAGCTGATGGGGCCACTCAGACCTTCTAGACACGTCAACAATACTTACCTGGCTACAAAACGCCGGAGCTGGAAGGGGCCCTGGCGACCCATAGCTTCACACTTCCTTTCCCAGCATTTCTTCGAGGCCCAGAGAGGGGAAGTCGTTTATGTGACGATGATAGGGGACAGTCGGGTGGACCCGAGGTGAAGTCCTTTACTTAGCAGTGTGGGTTAACTGCCCATTGTGTGGCCGGCGGCATCCTGGGACTGGGTGGGGCGAGGAAAGATGTTTCCTCGAAAACTACCACGTCGTCACCCCAAGGAATTGCTCCTCTGGCTGGGGAGACGAGACTTATGCAGCGGAACCCTTACAGCGCAGTCTAAGACGTAAGCAGGTTTGCAGCTGTGGCTGTGGGAAAACGGGATCCCGGAGCAGTGCAGTGCTACCGCTGTGGGCCTGAGTCCTCAGAGCAGGCATCATGAGGGAGGCCAGACTTGCGGTGGCCTTAGAAGGATAGCCGTGCTTTGGATCTGTGGAGAGGAGGGGACAGAAAGCGGTTCCAGGAAGAGACGTAACATGAACACAGACACGGGGACCCACCTGAGGAGGGTGGCTGGGAGGACAGGTAGGAGAAGAGGCTGGGTGGGGGTGAACCCCGTGACAGGGAAGCGGTGGGGGAGGCCAGGCGTGGGCCGGAGAAAGAGCACCCCGAATGCACTGTGGACCACTGAGGCCGCGTCCCCAGAAGGGCTCTTGGGATCAGGAAGGTGACGTGACGCGTTGGGCGTGTCGCGAGTTGAACACGGGATGTGTGGGCAGCACACGTAGGGAAGATGCAAGGACACTGGCCTGTGCAGCGACCGTGCGGACTCGGGTGACGCAGGTGGAAGGCGCAGTAGAAGCCGGTTGTCGGTAAGCCCCGGATGCGTCACTGGGGAGCAGCGCCGAGGACAGGAGCCTCACTGGCTGTTCATAAAATCCTCGCCTCCGCGTGAGGACTGCTTCATTTGGGAAAATAGCTAAAAAAGAACCGAAAAATCCCTAACTGGTTAGTTACGGGCCACTAGGATGGCCTCTTGTCTTTGCCCCTCACTCCCCGACCTCGAAGGCTGTCTGAACCCAAAAGAGGCTCTTCCGGTCGGTGACAGGAGGCCTGAATGAGATGACTTGCCCACGTGTCCTGCTGGGCGGGCCCCGGGCCTTCTCGTCTGCCTCTCTCCACCCCGTGGCTTGACGTCTGCGCCCCTGTGTGTGTTAGGTTCGCACACCAGACGCTGCAGCAAACACCCATGATCGGTACGCTGACTCCGCTGGGTGCGCAGGGCGTCCAGGCTGCCATCCGCTCGGCTCCCATCCTGCCTGAGCAGCA